GGGGGGGGATGCACAATTTTTGGAAGAAGCTACAAACCTTTTTTAGGGGGATCGTATTTTTGTATGATTTTAAGGGGGGGTGGTGTTGAGAATTATTCTGAACATTTCAGATTTTCACCTGCCCCCCTCTGCCATACATTATGAACGCAGCCTTACATCTAATTCACTTTCAAACGAAAATCAGCCGATGCGTGAAAAGGCCTAGGTGGGTAAGAGCAGGGCTGGAAATGAAAATTATTTTTCAGCCTGCTAAAATAAAGGTGCATGACATTTTATTATTCGTTTGGCAGGGCATCGTTATTTTTGCCTGCCAAATCTGAAATTTGGCCTGTCATTCGACCAATGGCAGGCCGCTATTTCGAGCCCTAAAGAGTAGTTTAAACCATTGTAAGCGAATAAGATTACTCCAAAACAATTCGTAATGGTTTGACTGGTGACTCATTCTGGACTGGTGCCTTAAACCAGCGCCTTAATCCACCCGCCTACCCTACCGGTTATAGTGGGTTCTATTTCTGATATATGATTTTCATTATAGGTCTTAGCCCTGCAACTCTACAAGCACTTGCAATGCTGGCTCACGAACATGACGTGGGTCTTGCTCTTATAAACCTTGTAAGTACATTAGCTCCCATATTTGAAAATAGACTTCCAGTTCAGTCAGTCTGCATCCTTCTAAAAGCAGGAGTTACGTACCGCTTGTATTTATCGTAGCGCACAATGTACTGTGGGATATGTAGTGAATGATAAAGCGCCATCCCTTTTCTCTAATCTCAAAGGTCATGGTGCGTAGCATTTATGAGTCCTTACGTTGACACAATGCCGTTGCATCCTGTATACAGTGAGTAATGCTGCTATAACGTGATGGAATGCGTTTAATTCATAAAAAAAATGAGAAGTCACGATTTATTTTATGATTTTTATGGTGCTTTACGTTTCAGTTCAACGAAGTCCTCTCGTGTTTTTTCAACAACATGGCGAACGTTCAAGTCCCTTTGAAACTAAAGTTGTGGCGCACATTAGGTTGTCATGATCTGCTGGCCTCGCTCGGGTTTGATTTGGTTGGTGTTGGTAAACAAGAGGTCATGTTAAGATCAGGCAAAGCGAACAGTCGACGAGCACTGCAGTGTACTGTTCAGGCCTTATGCGCCCTCACAGGTAAAGATAGCCAAGCTCTAACTTCTACAGCTTAATCCCCGGGGACGTTCGGTTGAGCAAAAGTCTGGGTAGTAGGTCGTGGGTCTAATCATTTTGCCGGATCATTACTCAAGGTTTCGAGATAACTGGGTAAAAGGTGCTGCCTTTGCTCTAATAATATCTAATAATATCTACGAATCATTCCCATCTTTTGCTGGTTTTCATTTTCTCGTTTACTTAGCTAAAGCGCACAATTTTCGTCTCATAATCGCTTGTTCGTTTCCCGTTCCAGACACGGTCAACCCTGCAGACGTAGAAGAACCCGCCTTCAACCTGGTTGGCAAAGCGCATTCCTCTTCAATTGCGATGTCCAACATTTCATTCGTGTCCGCCTCACTCGGCTCGGACCTCGATATGCGAACAAAGAGTGCGGAAGACCTGAACATCATGAACAGAGAGCGCCGAGGAACGAGTCCTCATTCCAGGACTAGCGCGGTGGTTCGTCCTCGACGTCATTCAAGTTCCACGGAAGCGTTAATGCGCTCTTTGGCGGATCTGGAAGCCGAGTCATCTGTAGATCCAGAGACACCAGAAGACGCAGTTGTGACGCCCACCCAGCCGCGCCCAATTGAAGATCGTCCAGCCAATCAGAACTTCCGAGGTTCCCAACCAATCGTTGCTAATGTCAATCGGAAAAGCTCTCAGCGAAGCGTCTCGAGTATTGATGTGAGTGACTTACGCGTGTCTCCAGTGGATATGTTACCTTCACCACCTGCGCAAACAGAAAACCATTCTGATTCATCTGATGTGGATAGCTACTCAGATATCATGGAACAGCAGAGGAGGGATACAAAGAAAGACAAGAAAGGCAGTCAAACCAGTTTGGGGGCTAATGGAGTTTCAAGTAGAAAGGGAGGGTTTATACTACGCAAGACCCATTCTTCCTCGAGTAGCGAATTCTCTGTAGGTAAACAAGAAGATAACACCAAGACTCCTGGTAGTATTAGCTCGCTTCGTCCTCGGCAAAAGATTCAAGACAGCAACGAGAATCATTTCATTCAACATAACAGCATCAACAGAACCACGAACGATAGGCCCTCAAAGCCACTGCATTCGTACACAAGAAACTCCACCGCAAATCTCCACGAAGTTCAAAGAATACCATACGAGACGCCGGTGATGAATCACCATGATCACATTCCTGTGAAATACAGATCAGAGGGGAATCTTTCTTCTTATAAACCAGGAATAATCAAGGAACCTACTACGAATGGGCTATTAAGTACTCTGGATAAAAATGACACGAGACTCACTAATGGTGACGTAAAGCGGTCCAATAATCCGGTATACAGCAAGAAGCCGCCAAATCGTGATCACATGACTCCTACAAATTCGCATGTACTAAACGGCGGTTACCATCCTAGAGGTGCGCGTGACGACTTCTCGGAACGACGACAGTCAATGATTGATTTATCGAGTGATGATGAGTTCTACAGCCAGCACTCGTACGCAAGTCATTTACGAAACATAAGCTCTAGTAATGAATATTTACCGCGGCTTACGCCTCCGAAACGCGGAATCAACCAAGTGATAGCAACTAGAGTGGTTAATGATTCTAACCTCGATGGAAGAGTTCGAAACCACAAGTCAAAGGACACACGACAGGGGCTTAGAGTACAAGTGTCAAATAACTCGTATTCTTCGCAGGACAGCACGAGTACTGAGTCCCCTACTACACGGCAAATTGCGGCAGAAGAAGCTGCTACGGCATTGATGCAGAACCATGTGGGAAGTGGTCTGTCGAGAGGTTCATCTTCTGCCAGTACACTGACGAGAGAGAACTTGGCTATGAAAGAATTTGAAGAAAATAGCACAAAACACACCAAACTCGAGCAGGGACACATTGCTAATCTGGCTCATCTTCAATCATCGTCCTGTTAAGTGTAGGTAAGGATAAAACTTGTCTTAACTGGAGATCCTGCCTTGGGACGGTTACAAAAGTAGGATCTCATTTTGATTTTTGACCTTCGCTCTTTTTCCCCTTATTCCTGACCCAAAAAATGGACCCTGGTATTCCATTTCGTGGATGCTATTCTACCACAGGAAGATGGCCAATAAGTAACTGATTTTCTGCTCATCTTCTCATTGGGAAATGCCTCATATTGAAAGAGAGGGGATTCATAGGTTGTCCTTTTTTACCTAGTAGCATTAAGGTTACCCAGAGTCCAACTACTGAATGTACTTCACCAAGCAATTATATGATTGTGTATCTTATTTGTAATATTATTTCGCATGTATATAATTTCGCGATTTTAGCAAGGGGCTGCATTGTGCAAATGTTGCAAATTCGCGAAAATTAAGATGCGAAAAATAGCATTGATAAGGTATTTCTTGCAGCCTTTTCTAGTTTTCTCATAATTTTCTTTTATCATTGTTTTACAGACATCTCAAACCATTACTTTACTCGTGTCTACTTGTTACATCTCAAAACCGAGTGCCAAATTTTCCCCTTCATTACTGGTGTTCACAATGCTACAAATGTTACAAATGTGTTTCTCCAACTAGTCAATCCAATTGATATACATTTTTAAAATCGAAGAATTAGATCAATTTCCAATTTTAACTAACTTTTTAATTATTAATATTAATAAGAAATGATTTTAATATAAATTTTTACCTCAAGATTTTTCAATGCACAGAAGACACCAAGGCAAAGTGACACACATGATATAGGGCAGACACTGAAAATGAACGAAAATGTGGTATTCAAATTTTGTCATTCAAGCAATTTGAGTAGACAATTTGCTCTTTTGTACTTTTTAATGTTTTTTTTCTTTGGAAAGCTTTAATATACAATCCCCCTGGACACATTCCTAACTTCATTTTTGGTTTCTGAAACAAGAAGGGTTTACAGCCTCCTTGCTGCCATTACAGTACCAGTACTTGGCAGAGGTTTTTCGGAGAAACAGGAAATCTCTGCCAAAGCAGGTTACCCCAAAGGAATTGATGTGTGTCCCAGTTACTAAAGAAATACCAGGCATTTTTTGAGGATGACTGGTGCCAAGAGAGCTGAGGGCCAATAATTTTCATAAAGGTAAAAAAGCTACCGACAAAATTTACACAAGCAAAATAATATTCATAGCCACAACACAGAGTACAATACATCGTCCATAGTCAAGCCACGTTGAGGTTAAGGGTATTCAAAGCAAACTACATCCCTATTAGCTTCAATCTCATGAATAGGACTTAAAAACAAAACTAAATGCAACAATTCATAATTCCATAAGCAGCTCTTGTAACCAAAATGCCAGCGTTTCTCGGATTTCGGCTGTACTATGGATTACTTTTATTTATTCAAAGCTCTTCACAGACAGCACAGAATAATATTCAGATTTTTAACCAATGTATATCTCAAATGCTAATGTATATTTTATGAATAAGACATTCTTTTGTAAATATACACTGTTCTTGATAGAAATATATTTTGTTCAAATAAAATTGATTACGAAAAAATTGTTTATATTTTCACTATTGAGGTATCAATATTTTCACTATATAAAGGTATGTTGTGTAGTTTATGAATTTATTTGGGGGGAAGGGGGGGCATTGGGATTAGGGGAAGGTGCTTCAATAATGTTAAATCAAACCAGTGTTTGAAACATCAAGAATGGGTCGCCTTTTTCTAGATATCTTTATATTTTGCAGGAATTTATGAAAATAACCCCTCGATCACAGACAGAAAGACGGCTACACTTAAAATAATGAAATTAAAAAATGATAATAAAGAAACCCCTATTGCTTATTTTTTCATCTAAAAAAAACGATAACCGAAAGAGGATACATCGCAAAAATTTAATTAATTTAATCTTAAAATTTTTATTTCGATAAACGAAACTAGTTTAAAATATCTATGTCCACTGTTAGTTATAAGGCGATGGCTCCAACCTCCCGCTGATATGGGGTCGATAATTTCAAAACAAAAAGGGATCAATTTTCTTATGCATATACAAATTCGAATAATTGATTCACCTTGGCTTTTGTTTTATTCTATCAGTAATTTTTTGTTTTTAATTCTTTGTGGTTTTTAAAGAAGAGCGAGGAGCGAAAAGAGGTCAAAATAAAAGTACTTTTGGAGACGCGCGCGCGTTATTTATTGACGTTCCCCCTGTCGTTCCTAAGCAACGGTGTTTTGTCATGCGCTGTACGATACGATAATACAATTATCAGAAAACGAAAGAAGATCATGATGGTGGCTTGCTTACTCATCGTATTTATCGCTATTTAACACATCTGATGGCCGTTTTAGGCTATGGATCTATTTCCAATTCATCCATTTAGATTCTAAACTTCGAATTTCTAGAGATATTCGAGTGGAATATCGCCGATTTCAGTTTGAATTTGGGTTCAATACATGATAGATGATATGAAGCTTCTGCTGCTCATTCGTCTGTTTTGAATTATTTTTGTCTTGGGATCTTGAAAAATATACCGCTATTCAGAAATGCAGACTCAAACCATGTCAAAGGCACCGCCATCTCAGTCCTCTATCCTTCCTCCGTTACAAAATCTACCRTCTTGGTCGAGGAGTTCGTTAGAGAGAATAAAACAACCCAGACCGATCGTGCGTGATCCGCCACCAAACACTTCCTTTGAAGACAACGGGGAAGAATTCGAAATGACCAAAGATCAAAAAACTCTAAATCCAACAAGGACTGTGTCAGCACCCTTAAAAAGCGAAGCAGAGATCGATCGAAGGGTTGTTCAGATTGAGAAAAGTTTGGAGTTTGTTCAAAGCGAACATGCTCAAGTACTTGAAAATCTACACAAGGAAATTGAAAGGTTAAAGTTAGAAAACAAAGGTGAAGATACTACTCGTATTGTACTATACTCAGTCGAGAATTATCTCTTCTTTCTCTATGTTTATGTCACGAAGATCACGTCTATGACAATAAGATATCATAACTTCAGAACCTCGCTGAAATTTTTTTAAATAATGTTTTATAGAACTCAACTTCAAGCTCATCATGTCAAAGTCTGGAGTCAGTCTCGATGAAGGTAAAGCTTGAATATAATCAAGCAAATGCTTAATAATATATATCCCTCGCCTCTTGTCTGACCATGGCTTGGATTATAGATTATGAATCTTGTTTTTCTAGCACAAATTTTTCTCGTTCAATAAGTTATTTCCACTTTTGAAATCTTGTCTGACAAAATGAATAACATATGATGACAGTTTCAGACTTTTCTGTGAAATCTTCATAAGAGTTTGAACAGGTGCGATAGATATGCGGCATCATTTAAAAGCCATCTTGTTCTCTCACAATAATCTAAAGAGATAATATTATACAGCTTTTGGAGCTGTCATGTAGTCTTACTTACTGGTATTCATTTTTATCAATATTAGACAAAATGGAAACAAGCTATAAGAATTTATTTGAATGAGCACTCGAAATAGCCAAAATAGTTTTTGGACACAGCTATGATTTGCATAACTATTGTTATATATTTGAGAAAGTATTTCTTTTCCAAAATATTTAGGGACATGTAGCTGTCAACCATCGGCCTTGAGGATTTCCCTGATTACATAGACATACAACTTCCTTATATTTTCACTGTCGCTACAAGCAGTAACCCTGGCCAACCCTTAACTGGGCAGTGACTGCTTGTATTGTTAATTGCATAAGTCAATCCAAAAATCTTAATTGTTGATGGCTAAAGGCTATGCAACAGGACCAATAGGGATAGAAGTCACTTAAGCATGCCATTATTTATTTGCTCAGAATTCAGGTTGTTTGCRAAAAATAGTGAGCAACACACCATTACATGTATGTCTTTGGGTTTTGCAAAAGGAAAACAAATTAAGATAATTAAGACTTGTATTCAGCTAAAGAAGTTTCCAATTTAAAAAACTCAGTGTTAAGTCATATCTCTTTCTGCCTGCTTGCTAGCAGAGATCTGTACTGCCTGAGGCATAAATAATCATATAAGCAGTGAACCACTTCTATCAGTGATTTTTACCCATACAACCTTTTAATTTAAGTCACATAAATTGAGGCAAGTCAGTGACAACATTTTTTTAAATTGACTGTATTTTTTCATCTTTTTTTAAACTTTTAGAGCAAGATCCCATCTTTTCCGAAGAAATAATCAGAAATAGAACATCTCCAGTACAAGAACCTACAGGTTTGTAAGTTAATGCAAAGGGCATATTTAGATGAGTATCAGTACAGGTGGATACTAAGACATGATATAGAAAGTTATGTTATCTTTTTAATTGACTGGATTGACTTGATTCTTAGAGAAAAAGACACAAAATGAAGAAACTGAAGCCAAACACAGGAAACAAATGGAATCAGAAAATAAGAAAAAGGAATCAACTAAAGCAAATGAAAATAGAAATAATACTAGGAATTCAGCAACTTCAAATTTAAAGAAAAGGTATGGGAAATAATTAAAAGTAATATTTTGAATTCATAAAATNCCCCCCCCCCTGCCAATAAATTGGTTCCTGTTGTCTACAAGATGGGGATAAAGTGTGTGGCAATCTAGCCATCTTGGACTTAAACATTATTTATTGATGTATAAGTCTAGGCTGGTTAAGATTGCTTCATGCAATATTTATCCATGCTGTACCTACCTTAATCCAGGTTTATGGGCTTTTACCAGCTGTGAGGTCCTCAGAGTAAACCTTTTCTTAATTCTGAAATAAAACATAAGTGCAATAAATAAGTGCCGTTCAAAGATGAAAGCACTTAATAGCAAGTGGCTAACAAACCTGTGGCTCTTGCTCCATTATCAAATTAGAAATATTTAAATGATTGTAAAAAAGTAGAATTTTTAAAAGTATTTTTAATTTTGGTATGGGTTATGGGTTATTGATTAAAAAGAAAAAAAAAACAAAACAAAAAAAACAGCAGTCTGGCCCATAATTTATCATGAACCTCCTGAGAAAAGGTTTAAAATAACTGGAGTTGGTGATATGTTAGATGAAAATTGTGCCTGAAGTTCAAGATCACAGGAGTGTGAGATATTTTGACTTTGAGATTTAATCATGTAACTCAACTGTAGGACACAGACTTTAAGCTTTTCAAAAATGCTTATCCCCKCCCCCCCATCTGAGTCATTCAAGATTTTACTCCACTCTCCAAGCAAGGGTAAATTTACTGTATTCCTTTCTTATCATTACAGTGAGGACACTCTAACCATGAACACTTTGTGCTTTTTTACTACTTTTTTTAACATGCATCCCTTGAGTGAATCATTTAGAAATAAGTTGTCTTTTGACCACATAGCATATTTGAGTTCAATCCTACTTTTTTAGAGGGTTTGAAGCAGTAAAAAGCTCAGAAAATAAAAATCTGAATAAGGTCTAGTGTTCATGGTTCGAGTGTCTTCACTGTAATTGAAGCAAAAAATCCACCATTTTTCTTTCATTTGATTTTTCTTAAATTTTTCAAAAGGACACCCTCAGGTAAAAAAGCTGCTTCCTCAACTCCTCCTACATCAGGCAAAAAAGCTGCACCTCAGCAAAGTTCTAGCAAATCAAGCTTTTTGTCCAAAGCAAGAGCCAAGCAACTTCATAAAGAGAGGGAAGAAGCTCCCCCTCCCAACACACCCAATCAATCCAGAACAGAACCTGTTAGACGCACCCCACAAAGCCCTCTGTGGTCTGCAGTACATGGGGGGCAAAAAATGCTGATTGTCACTCTAAATAAAGATAAAACTATGCAAGTTCATGTACCTACTGAGAATGGACCAAGATCGCCAACACTTTCTGAATGTAAAACTATCATAGTAGAGCAACAGGAGACAAATCATAAGCAAGCAAAAGAGGTGAGGACTGTCCCTAGATTTTTGTCAGTTACTGAATTGTTGTTATTGATAGGTTTGTTATTTACTTTATTTCATAATGTTTTATTGGAATGTCATAATTTATATGGGTTGTATATGTGTGTAATTTCATCCTTATGCAATGCCTAGCAATTAGATTTTATGTTAAATATTTGTTGTATTGTCTTTATTAATTGTTAATTTTTCACAGCTGAAAACCCATTATATAGAAGTTTTAATAAATCGTATTGTTAGCAAGAAATCTCATGCCTCTAATTTAGATTGTGGGGTTGGTTCAGAATGACCGACATTTTTGGTAGGGGAGTCTGTATGATATTAATTGATAATATTTCCAAAAGAAATGCCTGTGTATAGATCGTCTATATAAATAACCAACCACTTGGCACTATGCACCAATTTATGTTGTTTCTATTTTTTTACACAGCTTTTGAAACTCAGGGCTGATTTACGAGAAGCAATAACCTCTCAAAAGTGGAATCAAAATACTTACTTAGTAGGGAGGTCCRTTAGGAAAGTAGAAGCTAATTCTTCCAGTTCAAGGTAATATAATGTGTTACTTCACATCAATGTTTTTCACATTTTTATAAATATATAATATAAATTTGGGGTTCCCTTGTAGCACAAAGCATGCTGTTGATGTCACTATTTAAATAAAACATTTTTAAGCCATCACTTTGCATAAAGGGCTCTAATCTGTATGCTCATTCCACACTCAATGCCATTACATTTACAAATTGGTGAGTGACAACGGTTTCGTGACAACACTCAACTCACATGTTGATTTTTATGGAGAGAGGAATTCTCAGTACATCAAACAAACTCAACTCACATATGTGGATCAGCCAGTATTATCCTCATATGCAACCAGCTTTGATAAGAAATATTAAAGAGTTTTTGAAATTAGCCTTATTTGTACTAAAATATTTATCATAATTAATATCTTACCATTTTTCAGTGCTGGTACATCGCAGGTAAATCGACATTTACCAAAGCTTCCACTGAGAGAACCAATATCTGGAAGGTTAGTCATTCTTAAATAAATTATCCCTATTAGGATTGTCATTTTAAAGTTTTGAGTGCTTTATGTAATAACTTACCTTCAAAGCTTTGAGGCTTCCTGTGGTAAAGGTCAAAAAGACTGGGATTGAATTTTTTCTGTTTGCCACAGGAAGATCACCTGGAGATATATAAAAGGATAAGTGTCAGTCAATCTTACAGTGTCTTTTATTGAAATTCTCTACAGGTTACAAGGTCGTGGCCCTGCTGCCCCAGAAAAGATTTCTCTCCCAGCTCTAAGACCAAACATCAACAGTGTTGTAGCAGACCGGAGAAGAAGACAACAAGCAATCCTTAGAGGAAGGATGGGACGAAAAGATTTTATCTAATATTTAAATTCTAATAAATTCCCAAAAAAATTGACTTCAAACTTTTTAAATTAATTCTTAAAGGTTTCCATTTTTGGTTTATTTAAGATTACAACGACCACACTAACGAAAAAGATAACATTGTCGATGTCCTAATTAAGAGGTTTGGTTCTAGAAAAAAATTGTATGAAGCAAAATACTTTAAAGATTCAAGAATTTATTTTGTTAATAACGACCTGACCCATGCATAATAATGTGCATGATAAATAAATGTTAAAATATATTGTATAGTTTAAAACACATTTAACACAGACCAAGTATTGTTTTTATGTTTGTCATGATTGTTAAGAATGAGTATATTTATGAGAGACTTTTATTTAACCTTCTACTACTATTGCATGTATGTTTTGTTTTGACAGATCTCCCCTAYATTTGTTTAAATCAAAACTTGTTTGAATAGGACGTTTGCATGATGGCGTCATTTGACTCCCACTACCATAATGCTTCGTGAATTTTCTTTCTTATTTAAATTTGTATTCCCTCATGAGAATAGTAAGACAATTGGTGCTAATTAACCGCACACAAAAAAGTGTGCAAAGGAGTCTGGTAGTAGAGGTCAATGACGCCATCATGCAAAYGTCCTATTCTGTGAATAGCTAATAATAAAAATGTTGGTGATGCAAATTGTTTTGGTTTTGATGATTATATATTTATAATAATTTATTGATGGTTTTCAACCATTCCCAAGAGAATTAAATAACAAAAGACATGGTGGCCATGTTGGAGGATATAACAAAAGAATTCATTAGCAATTCTTTTGTTAATTTCCTCCAACATGGCCACCATGAAAACCATCAATAGGGTCACTTGGGTAGATTGTCTTGCCTGGCAAGGTCTTGCATATGCAAAAACTCTTTAATCTATTTTTGTTTCTTCCATATGTTTCTTCTCTTCTTTCTTTTTCTTCCTTCCTATCTGTTTTATTTTGTATGTTTGTTCCTTACTTACTTACCTTTTATGTTTGTGTTCTTCTTTCCTTGTTACGTTTCCCTCCCTAGCTTCATTTCATTCCATGAACGATAAATTGTGTAAATTATTGTGATTGGCATGTTTCCAGGAAGCTAAAATAAAACTGAGCTGCATATTAAACTGTATAGATTATATCTACCTTGGGTGAAAAGTTTTCTTATTTTAGACCACGTCTTTCTCTTGAGAACAAAATTCCTTGCTTGAGCTGTCTAATAAAAGAAGAAATATGACAAGTGGAAAACCTATTCTTTGGGCTTCCTGTGGTGATGCTATTATGATCACGTGACTATTTAAACAAAATGGCGGTTTGTTGGTGTTGATTTCTGTCCGGTGTCTTTATTTAAATGTATAATCGTCCTCACTAAAATAAATATCAATCAAAAATATAATTTTTCAAGCAAGAAGAAACTCAGGTAAGTTCTGTTAGCGATATCAAGCTTATTAGATTGCTCTTTAAAGCAATTTTTAGTGTTCCATTTGAAACTTCTTTGAAAAAACCGAATTTTTTCTCTTTGTTTACATCCAAATTTTGTGTAATATTAAACATGTTTGACTGATATTTAATTTGATTTACCGCTAATAATAATCCTACTTTATTGATTTGTTTTTTAGTGATTTGGATCATGGCATCCAACGCTTTGTGGCAGAGAACCCAGCTAAGCTTTCTTCCTCCTCAGCAGACGAGTTCCAGTGTAGATGCCTTCCCTCAGCGTCTTGCTGCCTTACAAGTCCCTGCTCCACAACTCTCTACGCAGCTCCAATTTAACATAGGAGTACCACTCTCACCCGATAATATGGCCACACGCTTCAGAAAGCCAAAGCCCATTTTAATAGAGAAGCTTCAAGGACCAAAAGAAGACAAAAATAGAACATTTGTGACAAGGTCGATGGAAGGGTTGTCATCTTCTGTGCTGTCAACAGATCGCTTAGCTTTTGCTGTAAACTTAGCAAAAAGGGATATTAAGAGAGCAAAGCTGATGCCATCTAATGATAATCAGGTCTCAAATAATGAAGAAATCAATGCGAGACATGAATCTCCAAGTAAAGAAAAGGTAGCAAAATGTAAAAAGGCAAAAAGGGTTGAAAAGGTTCAACCAAAAGAGACAATGCGACATCGTGTTCAAAAGGCTTTGAAACATCAAGAAAAGGTAAGATGAACATTAATCTGTATCATTTGAATCATATAAAACCTCCAGGATATTCCCCAACCAAACCACAGTATGCTCCCAACCCCCACCCTCCCCCCCCCCAAATGGATTGTAGAAAAATAAAAATGAAGTGAATGGGTAGAACTGTGTTCAGCAAGCTTGTATGACACCTCTTCCTGCTCCCACTCCCTTGTACCAGCACCACTGCTTGTGCAGTATAAGAGGAAGTACAATGCGTATATTATCTTATAGACTATTTTACTGCAGTTTTCCATATTCTGTGAATTTGGAAGTTACAAGCTGCAACCTGAAATTTGTTTTTCTTTTTTTGGCTGCCATCATTCAAAAATAATCAGTCAGTACCTTTTATGTAAACTTATACCTGGCAGCAGTAACCAATTTCATGACAAGCTGTTGAAATGTCTGAGTTCGCAATGTTACAGCAGTGTTATGGCACTGTCTCTCACCACTGTGTAATTGAACATATCTGGGGTTGTGGGTTCAATTCCAAGATGACCCACTGTTTTCAGCCCTTTGTATAAATCAACAGTTAGTTGTTGTGTGTTGTGTGTTGTGAATATTGAATGTAATGGTAGTGCATATGGAGTGTGGAACACTGTTGAAAGAACCTCTTATAGGGAGTGATGGTTGTAAAATATGATTTAAGTTAATTTTGGTTGAGGGAGGAAAACTGAAGAAAAACTCTTGAAGTACATCGTTGATGAAGTGAATTTTCCTTTAGGAATTGCAAAGAGGGCATGAGCTTTATTTCTACCCAGACACCAGTCATCAGATGGACACAGAAGGAGAAAGTCCTCAAGCCAAGGAAATACGCAAACTGAGAAAAGAGCTTCACACATACATGAACCAGCTAGAGGACATCCAAAAAGATAGACCATTAATGGTGCGTAACAAAGATAAAAGAATGAAGAGAAGACAGGATATTAATATGAGACTCTCGGACGAAGAACTAGATGAACGACAAGTGGCTAGAGCAGAGGAACAAGCAGCGAGGTCATCCAGAATGCTGTATATGCTCAAGCGTCAGGTACCATAAGGAATTATTTCCTTGTTTTATGGGGGTAGCACTTATTAGCCAGTGGATAATCCTGTGGCCCTCAAACCATGATCAAATTTTAAATTTAGAAGTTGACTTTTGGAGGGGAGAAAATCCAGAGAATCTGGAGAAAAACCCTCAAAGCATAGGAAAGAACCGACTAGAAACTCTACTCACATAAATTTATGAGACGAGAGACAAGCTCTATGCCACCCATGCTTCCCTTTACCTAAAATACATTAATGACTCAACAACTTTTGTCAGCTCTTTTCTAAAATGGCAAACCTGCCACATTTTGGTATTCTGAAAATAAGCAAAAGATGTGCAACTGGTTCATGCTTGTAAAGTTGTACAAAAAATGTCATTGTTAATAAATAAATATATTATAAATGTAGGTGCAAGATCTTCAGGATGAGCTGAACAAAAAGGGAACAAATATTAAACACACAAAAAAGGTGAGGCTTATATCCACAAAATCTTTCTCCATGCAGTTGGAGAGTTAATTATTACATTAATTTTAAGAAATAATTTTTGTTATTTCGTTTTCAGAGTCAAACACTACATCGCTTGGCTGCAGCCCATAGAGCAGCTGTTCGGGCCCTCCAGACCTTCATAAGCCAAAGTCCTTTGCACCCCAAAGGTAGCCATGCTCCAGCATACATGTATCAGGACCTAGCCATTCTTATAAGACAACTGTCCTTACTGACGACTCAACTACAGGTAGCCACTGATGACCAACTAGATGAACTGGTAGTCGGCAAGATTGGATCTAAGGTTTGTTTGGACTTTACGGAATGATGATAGAAATCTCTGTTACTCTGTAAAGCCCCACTAACAAAAATATAATCTAAATAGTTACTGAGAGAGTATCTGAACTTCGTTTGCAGCAACCACTTGGGTATGAAAGACATCAACAAGAGGAAATAAGAAAGCAGAATGCATTCTACAAGGAATTGGAAAATATCCAGCCATCTCCACCAACTAGAGACAGCAAACGACCAATAGCAAGAGTCAGGGAGGGTATGTCAACCTTATCAGTATAGTTATCCTTTAAGAGAATAAGTGTAATATTATGTACATCTTATAACTGTGTAATTGTTTTTCAGGGGCAAAATCTCCAAATCCTTCCCCAGAAAGAGATGCAGTGTTGAGAGCTGGTTTACAAGCACTTGTACGAGCCAGAGAAGAAGCCTTGCATACTAAACAGCCTGACAGTGTATGGTTTCTCCACACTTTAGCTTGTCTTTCCTTAGCTTGCCTCTCTTCTTTTACCTTCTTTTCTCTTCTCCTCAGCTTGCCTTACCTCTCTTCTCTCCTTTCTTCTCTTGCCCTCTGTTTGTATTTTCCATTCCCCCTTATTTACATCATTCTTTAGTATCACTAACAAAGTCATATTTCTTTCTTTAATTTCAGAACAAAACAAAAGTTCACTTTCCAGCCAAACATTTACCTGCAAAGAAATCTCTTCTTCTTCCAGCACAACTTAAGGTATGATGCAGTTAAAGCTTATACAATTCCTCTACACTCCTGGATTCCACAGTTACTTTTTGTATTATGCTTTTATTTATTTATCTATAAAACACCCTTTATATCTCACCCTTAGGCCAAGCGTCAACGTGCCCAGCAGACTGCTCAAAGAGTAAAACCACCAGATCTCCAAAACGCACACTTTGCTAAAGACACTGTAGCTTCTAACTTGAGGAAAGTCCCTCCAGTTCAAGACAGGCAAGAAATACTTGAACAGCCACCCAAATCCCTTCCTAGGACACCCACTAAGTCTCCTATACAGACACCCAAACAAGGAACACCCACCAAGCGTTTTGGCACTCCAGAAAGGCTTTGTGAGCAGCTCCAGACCTCACCTCAGTCACACCGCCGAAGACTAGAGGAAGAGGTAAGTGAAAGAATGGGAAATGGAAGGTAAAATRAAAATGACAACTTGTACAGTCGCAACTAAACGAAGATAATGATGGGGTCCTCTGTGCTGTTTTTCCCCAAATGAGAAGCAAAAGTTATTCTTTTTTCTTCGTTAGTAATTTATTATGTTGTTTTTTTCTAGTTTAACAGCCCAAGAAGCCCAAAGTACCAAAGACAAATGTTACAAGAGGAAAGAGATATGCTAGAAAGAGAGATTGCAAGGTGATTTAAGGAATGATTAGAATTGATATATCATCCAGTTATCAACCTTTGTCGTCATTACCATCGTCAACGTCATTACCCCTGAAGACATTACCACCATCATCATCATCAACACTATCGTGATCACCAACATCACCACCACCATCACCATCACCATCATCAATATCACCATTGCTTAAATACTCTTTTCTGTTGTTATTCCCCTCAGACAAGCATGGTTGGATYGTGAGGCTGAAGTAAAAGTAAGTAACTGACTTCCTGTCAAATTGTCCATTTCATCAATCCTCGCCAGTACTTTTCATCTAATGTTGCTACTCTTTGCTGTTTAAGCTTAGAGAAATTGAGGACGATTTGCGTCAAAGAAGACACCAGCAGCCGGCCTATAGCAGGTTAAGTCACATCTCACTGTTTTTTTCAAGGGGTTTGAAATAGTTTCATTGTGATGATCGAGAATACATATGCAAGACTGATCCAGGAAATTCYGGATGGGGTGGGGTGGGGGAGGCAAGGCAATCTTAACAAAAGTGTGTTGTCAGTGTGGCAAATTTAGTTCACAAGAAAAGAATCCCTTACCACAGGAAAAGGGTAGCATTACTTTAACTTTACCTAGATCCGCCCTGAAAAATACAGGCATGGGTTAAAATTTCTCACACGTTTTTGATTTTGTTTTAGTGATGGAGTTCGTCTTGCCCGTCAGATGATCCACGAGACTGAAGAAGCCATTATACACAGATTGAAACCATTACTAGACAGAGCAGAGGTAATTTTGCCTGGCCCCAAGAAGCTGAAAGCAAGGGCGCGTTTTGTGTTAAAGATATTATTATATTTGACAATCAGGCTTTTCTTTAATCAGGCCATCATGAAAGAAAACAAAAAACAAGAGGAAAGAAACAAGCGATCACTTCRACAACAATTAACAAGTTTAACTTCACGGACAGTAAGTTTTGCCACTTCTTCTTTTCATCTTTCTTTCTATAGCAGCACCCTTCTTTCCCCAATACTGTCAAGAGTGGATCTCTCCTGCTGGGTTTTTTTTTGTGATTTATTCATTTTTTTAATTAAAAATKTGGTAAGCAATTTGCGTTATATCGCGTTATATTATGTTTTATGGTGTACCTACGAGATCCATATTCGCGGTTCGTCGTTTCTCCAAGAAAAAAGAATTTAAACCCGGTCTGACTAGTAAACTACTGGGTTTGGCGCGCTTTAATATTGTCATAGGTGAAGTCACTCAATAGTTATGAGTTAGATAAATTTATCTAGATATTTAACAATCAGTCCTAATGTATTCACTTACCTATGTTGTCTTTTGTGTGACATCGCAGACAATGGAACAGGCTCACCTACTTGCTGATGGAATCCTGGACGACATACTGGACGATACTGTACAAGAACTTCAAAGGTTACACAATCTTCTATTCCTTGCCAACACAGGTTTTTATCTGAATCATATTAATACTTTATTTTCGTTGTTGTTCAGACTGGAAGTGGACGACGAGGCAGAAGTAGTTGCAAATGGTATCCAGAACAGCTCTACTCTTGAGAATGTCATGCAAAGGCTACAGAACTTCGAGGTACACTGGTTGGGGGGGTTACACTGTGGGGGGTGAAGTGAGGGCAGAAGCATTGCAAATGGTATTTAGAACAACTCTACTCTAGAGAATGTCGTGCAAAGGCTACAGAACTTCGAGGTACAATAGACGTTTTACTGGAGGTTCTTATTTATCATGCGCAGATTTCAGATGCGCAGTGTTCTTCCGGCAGCCGTCGTTAGTGTCAGTCCCAGATCCTCACTGACACTAATGTCGGCTGCGAAAGAGACGAGAAACATCACGGTATAGAAATTACAGCATACATTGAACCAATAACAGTGCTCGATTGTGCATAAAATTTGCCGATTCGAGTAATGCTTAGTCACGTCAGAATCACGGCACGGCACGGTCACAGCAGGTTCGTTCATGGCTTTCATAGCCTGTGTAGCGGCGCAGATGGAACAGGAAAGATGGGTAGTACAGATATTGTGCTCTTGTATTTTCACTAAAAAGTGTTTTAAATGATTTCAATTTTAGAAAGTCGAAAACGAGATTCGCCGCCATTGGACACAAATCAAATATTCCGAGACTGACGCACCCACTCGAACACTACATCACCAAACAGGTATGACAGCTTTGATTGTCAATAAAGGAATTTGAAAAAAAAACACCCCAAAGTATGGGAATTATTAAGCTGAGAAAATATATACCTTTTTAGACTCTAGAAAGAAAGGATCGCTTCCCAAAGACCCTGAGCCAATCATGTTCACAAAGGATCGTCCCGAGAGAACAGATGGCTACTTGGAAAAAGGAATACAAAAACTGAAAAAGAAATCGCAGTCGAGGAAGGACAAGGCGAGATTCGGTGATCAAAATGACCCGAGTATGTCTGATAGCACAGCATCGCTTCTAGATGGTAGGTCGTCATACTGCAACAGTATTGTATTTTACTGTTGCCGTGTTTTTGTGCCTTGACTGGATGAAGCGCAAGAGGAAAGGGGACCCATTAAAGCCTTACGGCATGTCGTACTATATGCGTACTGCAAGTTAGTAACGTATGTTTTTGATCCCAAAACCGCTCAATAAGACGCCAAGTCCAAGTTGGTTTCCTTATGTCCCTTTATGTACCTTCCCATGGATGATTACAAGTGTGTGCCTTTGAAACCACGGTAAGGCAGCACAAGAAMAGGAGGGGCCAGAACAGTAAGCCATGATAATGTATACTTACTAGCATCTAATCTTTCACTCGATTTCTCGTAGGCATATACTCACATCGGGGCTCATATGTACCATCTAATAATGATCCATCTCGTCGTCTCCCACCAATAAAGGGCCTGTCAAGGCCGACCATCGCTCTGTTTGTCCCTAGTGAATTACGCGCCAGCATAGCATCTTATAGGAGTAAATACGAGCGATTTCTACGAAGCACCGCGACACACGTACAGGGATCATTTAATCCATGGAAACTTGTTGACCAGTAAGTAGGAGTCAGTAAAATGTTTCGAGGGGTTTAAAGAGAATGTAAGTTGTGACGTATTTCCGGTTACAACTGCTCTCAAAAACCACTAACAAAGCGAAAAATGTTCTCAATGATTTAACCTGAAACAATTAGAATTTTGGGCACCAAATTGAGTCATGAAAAAAGTAAGAAAYATCTTTATAGAACTGTTTTCCKTTTTGGACCCAGAAGTTGTTCGAAGCTCTACCGATGGAACTTAAATTTCGGACGTCGATTTTAGAATTCCCTAAAAGRTAATAACCTTTTGATTGGGGGACGCCACGCACACGTTATTTAAAGCAAAATATGTCGCAAAAACAAGAAATCATCTCTAATGATTTGTCGATCTGTCTTTTGCTTTAGAGTCAGTGAAGAACTGTTAGACGATCTAATAAAAGACGTCGTTGAAGAACTAGGAGATGTATGTGATGAATAYACTGAGACCATCTATAAACAAGAATTTGTTGCTGCGGGCGGTGACAAAAGTATTGCAGAGTAACTTCAAAATATAATCAATCATTAATGATAGAATCCGTATTCAGGATTAGGGGACCCCTCTCCGCTAATTTAAACAAGTCTTCTCTCCCAAAAAACATGCACATAACGAATAGACTTCCAATTCTCAGGTARTTCAGGAGCCTTGTAGAATAAGAATAAACTATTGCCATTATATTTGTATTGAAAATTCTCTTGTACAAGAATAAATAATGTATTACCTGGTTCAGCGCAAGACCTCGTTTCTAGGTTTTGAACGAAAATAATCAGATACCTGAGAACGAGGCCGAGGACAAATTTTGAAGAACGACACATGAAAATAACTGATAATAAAGATAGATTTTATTCCTTAATCTTGCGGCTTGGAAATCCATCCTTCATCGAGAAAGAAATTGTACATTTTTCTCGTTTTGTTGACGTCGATTCGTATCAGTGCCCTGGCCTGAGCGAGGCGTAGTTCGCCGTATTTTTCGTTCTCTTTGATGACTGTCTTCTTGTAACCAATGTAATCAAGGGGAAGGAGACGGAGGGTGCTACATAACTGAAATATAAAAGGTAATGATACGTGATAAACCCCTTTGGGATAGGTCTTGTACAAAAAGTACATCCATGAGATGTAGCACACCTCCAGAAACTACACTACAAAGTTTGTCCATGATTTGAAACAACCTCTGGGCAAATTTAAGTCGGGACACAGCTAACTCTCAGATCGAATTAGGATTTAGCTAATTGTGCGTTAGGGACGAAAATCAGAGAACCTGGAGAAAAACCCTAAAGTCCAGAAATCGAGCCCACGACCCCAGAGGTGAGAAGCGAGTGCATTCCAGCTGAGTTGACCTTCAGAACAAACTCAAGATCAACCAATCAGAATTGAGGATTCAACATCATATTTTGATTAGCATTTCCCATGGTTCTGCCAATGCAAGAGAACCCATAAAATATGAATTCTTCATTTCTTTAAATTGATCGTAAATGCTACTAGTTAAACTCATGGTGAAATTCTATTTTATTCAACACGAAAAATCTACATTGTTCTCAGCCCCAGCTACGAAAAATCTAACCAAAAATAGTCGATCTCAGTTGGTTACTGCTGCACCACCCTTGATTCCAGATCATGAGTAGATATTTATAATGGTCTGATTACGATGGTGTTATGCCACTAACATACCTCTCTCTCGTCTGGGGATAGCTGTTCTAATCCTGGTGTTCCTGTAAGATCAAGTCTTGCAGCTTGTTTACGACCTGAAAAGACATACAATGTATGGCATGTGATGCATGGCATGTGATGCATGGCATGTGATGCATGGCATGTGATGCATGGCATGTGATGCATGGTAGAAATATATTAAAAAAGCCCTCCCTATTTAGTCAACAAGTAACAGGGGCCGCAGAGCACCTTAAAAAGTGGGGGCTAGGATTGGAAAACTTAAGAAACTAGTATAGGAAAAGGGAAAAGTGAGGGGGCTGTAAACCCCCCTGCCCCATCCCTCCGCGCCCACTGAGAAAACAGCTTTAAATTTAATCAAAAGTTTAAATTTATACTGATGACCTTTCCGTCTGAARCCGCAGCCCTCCCCCTTCCCCTTCCCACCAATAAGAAACCCACATCTCAGTTTCGGAACTTTTCTCTAAAGACTATACTGAATTAATAATTCTTCACCAACCAATGACTTGCAACACTTACCAAGATTTGGTAGCGGAATTGGTGCAAGGGATTTGCCRCTTTCTCTGTCAACAAAAAATACATTTATCATAACTAACACACCTAGAAAAAAACAATTGAAACAACTTGAATGCCTACATTAAAGCTTGTCTTTGGAGCCATGTCTGACAAGCTCTCTGGTCCTGAAAAAATCAATTAAAGAATAAAAGAAGTCAAAGTTGTTACCATTAAGGAAAGAGCCAAGTTCTTTGTCTGTAAGGCTGTAATGAATAAGACGTAAAATATCTAAATACCCTTATGTGTATCAGGATATCATCCAGTATCTTCCTTTTTCCTTGCTCTTCGTGGTTCTTTTTTAACTTTTCAAATATGAGAGCACCTGGAAAATAGTATTCAAATCCAGCAATAAGGAAACAGGATAGATAATCATAACATACCATAGAATCCTGGTTATAAGCCTTGGGCTTACACAATTATATAATTGAAGGCTGAAACGTGCTGGGGTTTCAGAGGGGAGGGTCACCAGTATAAGCTGTTTCCTAAGTGGGTGCTGAGGGGTAGGGTAGGGTAGGGGGGTTTACAACCGTTTGCCCTGATGAAGAGCAAGATGCTTGAAAGCTTGGGTTAATTTACAATTAAAAAGCTGATGAACCAAAACTATCATGAATTATATAAGGGTTTCTGGGTGGGCTTATAATCAAAGAATCAAGGTGCCTCATAATAGGGAGGACAAAAAACGTCTGAAATTTGTACTATTAAAAAAAAAGTTAATYGTGTACATTTCAATTTCATGAAACAATAACAGTAAAAGATTTAAAACAAACAAAAATGTGCTCAGAAAATGTGCTKATGATCTGAGCAAATTTTTAGTGTCCTACAGAGCTGCATGGTGGAACTCCATCAATGGAGGGAGATTATATAATAACTAGATGGAAATTTCTGGTAGCAGACAGGGCACTAATGATCAGGAGGTCTTATAACCAGGTACTGTAGAGTATAGCTCACAGGAATGTTAACGTGTCCAGGCACGATTTCTGCGGGCAGTCATTGCAGTACAATGTTTCCAATGTTGCATTTCTTGTGGGCTTCGATACATTTTTATCTTCCTGTGCCAGTTAATCCAGGGGTAAAGCATGTTACATACCATCGTTTATCAAAGTTTACCTCTTTTTGTTTGAATTCCTGCCATTCTGTATTCTTGAAGTGATAATATTTCTTGTTTCAAGAAATTTTCCACTGTAAAAAATGTAAGTTTAGATGCAATTTAAGATGAAATGTTTCCATTCAAATTCCAATTTGATTTGTGAATTAGCAATGCCCAGAGGTTGTTTCAGGTTTTTATTTAAGTAATAGAGAGGTTAAGCTTCTCATTTATGGCAAACGTGAAACGTCAGTTGACCATTAAAAAATTCTTTAAAATTAGTGAAAAGGAATCGCAATGATCTCCAAGTAGTAGATAAAAATAAGAATRTGTGTCTTTGTAGGGAAGGTTTGCAAAAGGTGAAGTGAATTGTAGGGAAACGATGAAAACGTGGTCACGTTTGCCGTTTGCGGGAAAGAAAAACGGGAATCTTAATCTGCCTAATAATGAAGTTTTTGTTTGAGGCACTTTTTTTCATTCAATTAATTTCCAGGTTATTCATTCACGTTTTGATTGATTGACAGATTGATTAATTCATTGAATTAATTTATTCATGCATTCAAGTTTGAGAATCTTACTTTGGATTCCTTGTAACAGTTTTTCATGTTCCTCTGGAGTCTGAAGTCTAGCAAAAGGTCTCATACTTTCTCTCAATTCCCTAAAGGATAGGAAAATAATGCATCAAAAAGTTCCTCCAACATACAAGATAAATAGAGTGCTTTTAGTCTCACTGTTGAATAGTTAGATAAATTTAACTAACATAGTGAACTATTTAGTTGACGTTACCTAAACATAGTAAAAGCGTGCCAAATAACGGTCATGCTAATCCGGGGGGTTGTTTTACCAGAGAATGAGTGAATAGACATCCATTTGTATCATCGTTTCTCCCCCTGATCTCAGTAGCTGTTTACTYGTAGTTTCAAATTTAGGTGACGTCACCTAAAATAGTAAATAACTTATCTAATTTAGTTGACGTCAACTATTCAACAGTGAGACTAAAAGCACTCTAAGTATCCCAAAAAAGAGAATTCATACTTCCAGCTAGGCTCAGTCTCCAGCTGTCAGGTTTCATTGGGGAGAAAACCCTGATGGTTGAAGACTGAGCCTAACTTCCAGCAAGACATGGATCTAATATCATCTGAGGGGAGGAAGTCTGGCAATAGCTAGGCCCCCACCCTACACTACTGTAATTATSCCTGCATAGTGACTTTGTAGTTTCATAAAGAAACAAATGCCTTAAGGCTAGCTACACCCTTTGTTAATTCCAGTCATCCTTTGTAAGAAGGGTATGCTGTAGATATCTCACAGGTCTATGCAATAAATATTGTGCAACGACAAAGAAATGGAGATGCTTTTTCATTTATTTACCTTTCATACTTTGTCTGTCGTCTTTCTAGCACTGAAAATAAAAAAATGACAATGTATCTGTAACATTAATATTATGATGACTAATAAAAGCAGTTTTCATTAATTAAACAAAATTGGTACTTTTATTAGATGTCTGCTTGATTTTTACCTACTGACAATCAAAAATAATCTGTTGGTACATTTTACATTTTTGACCAGTTCGTGCCAGTGAAAAACCAAAATGGCAGCTCACTGACTACTTAGTTTTAGTTTGAATAATATTGAAGATTGCTATAAACTCTGGTTAAAGCATAATGACTACCAGTTTGGAATATGTAACCTAACTAAGTGAAACATACTTTGCCATTTCCTAACATTGATTAATCCATATCTGCGAACAATCCTACGAAAAGAAAATAGAATGTAAAACATTTAAATTCATATTTCCATCATCTAAAACCTTTTTTATTGTTGCAAATATCTTACTTTTTTCTGTACCATCTTTGTCTTAGTCTGGTGAAGAAGACTTTGACCGCTGCTAACTTGAGTTCTAAAAAAATATAGTAAAATATTTTGAAATATTTCATAATAGCTCTAGCTTGTGTGCAATGTTCTCCTTTCTAATGTCATTCCTTTGATAATTAGATTGTTTGCTTGAGTCTTCTCAGGTACAAATGTTATACAAAAAAAATGATACTCAAGGGATTATGACATGTGGTATGAAATGGGACAACATTAA